TGTTTGTTGCTGTTGTTGGGAGGATTAAATGTGATAATCTGTATGGAAATCCCTGGCCCTGCAAACGGTCACTTTTATTAGTGGTAATGTTGAGGAACTTGGCAGTGGAGAGCCACGGAAGGCTTTAGAGGGTGTTCCTGCCAGAGAAGATGGCTAAAGGATCTTGGCTGATGACAGCGAGCCTCTCCCAGGGAAGAGGTACTGTATCATTGTGGGCCTTCTAAACCCAGCAGGAAAAGAGTCCCTGGCACCGTCCCGGGAGGGTCTGGCCAGGGTGGGGGTGGACGGGTCTGTCTGATTGGCTGACCAGAAGCAAGAGCTCCAGTTTCCTTCCCCGACTGGTACAGGTCCCAGAAGCAAGTGTCAGAAGCCGATGGGCAAATGTGACCAGAAAGTGGCCTGGTATCTGCAGCAGCATCTGGACACTACAATGGTTGGAACCTTGTTTTCTGGGGCTAACCCTATGGGGAGACCACACCTCCCGAAAGACACTCAGGGGACCAGGTTAACTCCCTCAAGTCTCTGAGGACACCTCCGAACATGGCATCTAACTAAGCGCTCTCACTTCACCCAGCAGAGACAGGCCTGGCAGTCACCTGTGACAGGGAGGCCAAAGGATGAGCCCAGTCCTTGTCCCTAGAGATGTCCGAATCCCACGGTTGCTGAACTGTCTGCCAACAGCAAGGTGCCGTGCTTGAACTCCACCCATAGTGCATGCTCAGCCCCAGCTTTCTGATTGAGAACATCACGTGACCGGGGCTTCTTATCAGCTTTCGGCTGTCACTCAAATCTCTCCGTACAGTGTCGACCTGGACCTCTGCAGGGATGGGAATTCTGGGCAATAAGTTTCAGCTTAGCTGAGAAACACGATGCAAATCCACAGTGGCCTCTCTTGTTGCCTCCTTCACCCTGTCCACATCTTTCCACCATTCTTTCCAAGTAAAGACAATAGCAAAACCATCTTCCTGCCCAATAGATGGTGGTCATCGCTTCTACAATCTAGAACATACAGAACGACCCTAACGAGGATGGGGACTTCTTCCATCCAGCTCAGGTGAAATTCATTTCTATACTCTAGTGTGATTCTAGCTGAATCTCAGTCCCCTTTTGATAGCCTCTAAGGACAGAGATACAGAGTTAACTACAGGAACGTCTTATGCAAACAGCACAGGAAAGGGCTGCACCGTTCCAAATGGCGACTGGCAGCGAGTGTAGGGCATGATGTAACGTGGGGCACGTTGCATCAGAAAAGAGGAAGCTTAACTTGCTGGCTGCTACCCGCTTCCCAGTCCTGGGGCCACATGTGGCTAAGAGACCACCTAGCAATTAGCCAGAAGGCATTGCCATGGGTCTTGATGAAGAATCGGACCACCTCTAGGATGGGCTCAGAACCCTTCTGCCCTTGGACAGCTCGTGTCTCCCATTACTGCCTGTAGGATGGGTGAAGACATGAACTCTCCCCACCCTGCTGACCTTTACCCTGGTTGGCTCCTGTACATTATATTAGCTGTGTGTGTTTTATCAGTAAACAAGATCCTGCTTTGACTGTTCTCCCTGGCGCGTCTGATTGTCCTCCGGCGAGGGAGGGCTGGGTGCGGGCGGCCAGTCGACCTTTACCTTTCTTGGTTCTTCCTGGTTGGGGCCTGCTCCCCCAATCTCTCCGGCAGGTCAGGAGGGAACAGGGGGCTAAAACCCCCATCAAGCGGGGGCCAGCGAATATCTGTAAGGTAGCTGAGATCCTCCTCCTTGTTCAGCTGGTCCTGGGGAACTCGCTCCTGAAGTTACGCGTTATGGAGGAGGTGCTGGTGAGGTAGCGCATGCCATAGCACCAGCCGCTTGGGAGGCTGAAGCAGCCTGTGCTGTCGGGACTTTCAGGGCCCATTCTGTGTGTGCCACTCACTGCCCTTTGATGACAGAATTGCTGCTGTGCGTGCCCACCTTTATGTCTCGGTGCGTCGGAGAGCAGCCCGTGCTCACGATGCCTGGTCATCTGAGGTCAGGCGTTCAGTGCTGAGGCCATCAGCAGGCCCCGTGCCCTCTCTGAAAAAGGGAAGGGCTCCCTACGGCTGGTGGCATGGCTCTGCTCCTAGACTCTGAGGGCCTGCCCTGTGCGTTGCCCGGAGGCCTGTGGAGGCTTCCTCCTGCGCCTCTAGCTCACGCATTCCAAGCCCCATTGGACCTGCTGGGTCACACGCCCAAGTGGCAGAGTGGCCTGCCCACCTGTGGCCTGCTGCAGAGCCTGAGCTTGTTCTGGGGTCCACCTGTCTGGCAGCTGCTCAGGACATCTGGGGAATGGGTTGAGGTGACAACCAAACGAGCTGCATGTCTCCCCAGTCCCAATGGCCCACGGGGCACTGTGCTTCCTTCTCAATGAATCGAGAGCCTGGCCAGACACATGTCACAGGGCAAGGGGACCCCGAGAGAGACTGCCACTGAGAGAGCATGCTCCTATATTGTTGGGGAATATATTTTCCCCCTAAGGCACAAATACGTGTTAAGTAACGTCTCTCCCTAATCACTTGGTCCATCCAGCATGATGTCACCAAGGGGGTGGACCAGTGTGATGTCCTGGAGTTGGAGAGATGATGAAGGTCCCCCTGGAGCAGATCTCCACCTGGCTAGAGAACTGATACAGCCAGGCAGCAGGAAAGCGACCTGCTCTTGTTGGCCCCGCAAGTTGAAAGGGACGGCTGTGGCAAGGCAGGGCACCCCTCCAGCCTTGATTCGGGACACCCCCCAGCCTTTTTTGAACAGGTCTCTGTCTTCTGCAGAGGCAGGCAAAGAAGCGTTGGTGTCCCTTAACTTGAGCAAAGGGTCACTTTTATTATTGTTGTTGCTACTGGAAAGAAAAACACAATTTGCAGATAGAGAGAGTGGAGGGTTTTGGGGGGTCCGTAATAATTTTGTCAATCAAACTGGAATGATGGGGGAGCCACCAGGAAATGACCTTAAAAGTCAGAAGAGAACCCAAGGCCTTGAGTTCATCCTTTTCTATTTCCGAGTTCTTCAATTCCACAATATGTTTTATTTTCACTAAAATGCTGTACGGCATCAACTACTCAGTCACCCAGAGCTTGTGAAGACAAAACACTTGTGTAAAAGCCTGTGCACCGTGGATCATTGTATTCTGGCAGCTGCTCAGGACATCAGTGTCCCCCTTTACCACTAAACACCAGCCACAAGGCCTTTATCTCTCATCAGATAAGAACACAACCCTGAGAGCACGCCGCCGAGAGCCTGTCTTTGAGGCCCTGTTCCTTGGGAACAAATTCCATGTCATCAGAGTTCAGCAGAGGCAGGAGCCCTCTCTCTAATGACAGATTGATGGAGGGATTTTAACCTCGCGCAGGTAGAGAGCTGGCGTGGGACTCTGTGGGTGGCACTGCCTGGAGTTAGCACAGCGGACTGTCTGGAAGAAAAGAGATAACTGCGAAGGGCGGGGAGCAAGGACAGACGGAATCCATGAAGAGGAGTGGGACCCCCCGGGTGGACAAGATCCATGTGGGTCTCAACTCCTTCAGCCCCAGGGTGCGGCGAGAAGCTGGAGTCAGAGCAGGCCCAGGAGAGAGCCAGCAGCGAGGCCAGGCGTGGGCAGCACATCTGTGCTGCACACAGGTCCTGCGCTCGGCTCCCAACTTCCAAGTAGGGAAAGAAACCTGGCTTCACTTCCGCCTTCCACATCTCACACAGATCATCTCCCAGGGCCCTGCTGACCCAGGACTCCGCAGGGTCAGGAATTCTGGGAAAAGGAGTTTAGGCTTGGTGACACCATCCCGATTCACCACACCTGCCTGGAACAGATCAACATGGGTTTTTTCCAGCGTCTGCTGAAAGACCTGGCCCTGCTGCCAGGCTCCCCTGGGGCTGCCGTCTGCTTTACCAGCTAAGAAAAGACCCAGCTTTGGCATCTGGTACCCCGCTGATCACCCCATCCCACCCATGTTCCTCGCTACCTGTGTGTCCCCAGGCAGAGCACTTGGCCTCCCTGAGATTCCGTCCCACCCCTACCATGGGTGGGGACACCAGGCTCATGGGTGCTGCTGCCGCCCAGGCAGGACTGGCGGGACTCCAGGTACTCAGCAGGCCTTAGCCCTCCCCACTCTGTCTCCACCAGTGGACTCCCTTGGACTGCTTTTCAGTGGGGGACCGGTCTGAGCTCCCCCCGTAGGCACACATGTGCGAACAGATCATGTTATCAAGGGCGGGGTGTGTGTTTTAATCCAAAGCCCGATTTCACACACCAGCAGAGGACCTACTGTGACAAGGCCACATGTCCACTGAGTGTCACTGAGTGACCTCTGGTGACACCCCTGCCAGCCAAAGAACAGGCAAGTCACAGTTTGGGGCTCACTTAGCTCTCATTGCTTCCCCAGAGCTGTCCACAGCAGGAAAGGCGGGTCCCCTGGGGTCTCCTCCTTGGAGGATGAAGCCTAGAGCCCCAGACAGACTGACCTCCCAGGGCAACCTCCGAAACCAGAGAGGCAGTTAGAGCAGAGAAGAAATGCAGCCGGGCCTCGGCTGGGATCCAGGGGGGTCTCCTGGGAACCCCAGTGTAGGTGAATCCCTCAATTGCTCTGAGTTGCATTTTCTTCCTTTATGAGCAGGAGTTGAAGATGGAGCAGGAGAGTGGGCAGAGCCCAGGGTTGGTAGAGCCAGGACTTGAGGTAGGATCCTACTTCCACTGTCGATATGCTCTGTGACTTTGGGAAAGTCACCTAACTTCTCTGAGCCCAGATTTTCTAGTAAATCTATGAAGGTCCTCCATGGTCCCTTCAGCTCAAACCCAGGTCAGCCTGTGGTGTTTCTTTTATAACCTCACGGCATCCCTCGCCTGGCCCTCGAGGGAAACTTCCTATTACCTCCCCATATACATTCAACATTGGACCTGGGCAATGGCTTTGACCTTTAAAATGTAGTGAGCAAATTGGGCACTGAATCCCTACTCTGTGTTGCGTTGTTAAATATAGACACTCCTCAGTCTATATCAAAACACTAGTACATTGAGAGTGACTCATAAAATTAAATTTTATTTAGAAAATGTTTGACACTGAAGGTGTTTAAAATATAGATCCCATTTATCATGTGGCTATTTTGGGGTATGTCAGTGTAAAGAAGCCAAAAGTTCCTGTCTTGGAAAGGACTCTCCTTTAATTTGGAATACATCCTTTCTTCCTATAGGATTGGTGTTAATGCCCTTTCTTCTACAAATTGGTAGATGAGTTGGGTTTGTAAGTGTCGTTACTTGGCAAAAATAAACCACATAACTGAACCCTAGTTAAAAACAACAACAACAAAAACAACTGCTCTCTGGAACCCCAGAATCCCAGTATCCCCTGTATTTGAATCAAGAAGGGCATTAGAAGCCTCATTTTACAACAAGGAATGTTTCTTTTTCAGAGATTGAAAATCAGAGAGGTTCAGTAATGGGCTGAAAACCACACAGCTGGAAGAAACGAGAGCTGGGATTTGAATGCTGCTTTCTGTAGCCTGGAAGCCTAAGCTGGTGTAACCGCCCATTATCTTCCCTCCACTCCCTTGGGGAAGAGTGAGATCCAGTGCTTGGCTGGGGGAACCCCCAAGGTTTAAAAAAAGAGTTCAAAAGAAGTCCCTCAGCTCCTCCAGTCCCACCCCTTCCCTCTGTCTCTGAGAGAATGCAGGTAACTTTGGGCTCAGTGTCCAAAGGTAGAGAAAGAGGCAGAGGGAGGTCCCTGTGTGGTTTTTATCATCCTCAAGAATGAATTTTATTTAACACCCAGAGAGCGGGTTTATGGAACCAAGTTTTCTTTGGCTTGAGCAAAAATTCCCTGAAGGATGGTTCTGAAAATCTGATTAGAGAAACAGAAAAGTAAGTGCGCCCTTGTCCTGGAGCTGGGACAGAGGTCCCAGCCTCAGAGGGGCTGGCCTTACAAGTGGAGGCCCAGGGACCTTGGGGTCCTTGCTGAGAGTTCTAGAACATTCTCTTGGGACTCTCTGGGGGACAGGAAACCTAGGGCTCCTCCAGGCCCAGTAGAGCAGGGAGAAAGAAGGAGACCTGGAAGCAGCCGTCAGGACCCAGCAGAGAGGGCACTCCGCTGCAGGCGAGGACAGAAATGTCCCCACTGGGGAGGAGACCACCGAGGGCAGCTAGGAGCAGAAGATGTTGGGGAAGTACTGGTAATGAGGGTTGTAGCTCCAGAGGTTTCTCTTCAGGCAGTAGACAAGCTTCCGGTCACAGGCACAGAGACCCACTTGACAGAAGGGCCCGTGTTCTGCAAAAGACACGCCAAATCACCATGAGGACCGAAGGGTCCTCTCTACCAATAAATACTGACTTGCTCCAAGGGGAGCTGAACTCAGAGGCAGGAGAGTCCCAGGCCTGAATGGGAGCCGCAGCCTTACCACAGATGACCAGGCCCCGCGTGAATCGGTACTGGTACGACTGTGTCCGGATGCCACAGCCCTCGTCCTCCAGCCGCCCATAGCAGCGGTCGTGCATCCAACAGCACCTGCCAAGGCGAGAGACTCGGACCCTGAGTGAGGGGGAACCTCCTGACCCCTCGACCCTGGGAAAGATACCAAGGAGAAATAGTTCTTGTCAAGCGTGGACAAAATTAGAGCTGGGGGGGAGGACCCCTGTCGACCTGTCTGTCTGTTCTAAGGACTTTCTGAAACCCCACGAGAAGTCCCCACTGTCCTTCGCGTGCCCCGTGCCTGGTGCAGCTTGCTTGCACGCACACAGATCACTGGAACAAAGTTTATGTTCAGCATTCTTTAAGCCTGGGACAGTTCAGAGAAGACACTCTGGACAGAGTGTGTGCTCAGCAAGGCACCTCCAGCAGCGAGCTGAAGCCAGCTCCTGCCCAGGACCCCCAACACCCGTGAGCTTTGTATCCAAGCAGCTCATGTCAATTTCTCCCTTTTCAGCTAGTAAAAGCTTCCCGTGCGGCAACCTTCTAGATCTGCCCATAGTTTACCAGGGCACAGGAACTCCCTTTGCAACTCTCTGCTGTTCCCAAGTCAATACTGCTATTCTATTTCGGTTGACATCCCTAACTGGTGCACAAGCGGGATCATATCCCTTTTGCAGAGGTCGCCTAAGTGGATACCGTAACAGGACCTGGTACCATGGCTGAGTACTTCCCTCTCCTCCGCTAGGGATGCCACTGGCCATTTTCCTGACCTGCGTTTGCCTACTGAGCTCACAGTAAGAGGACACTTCCCAGGCCCTCTTGCAGGTAGGTGTGGCCTGGAGAATGTGGGAGGAAGTGCTGCAGATGGCTTCCACACCCCAGGAGAACCTCCCACCTGCCTTCCACTTTCTTCTCTTTCTCCACCTTTGACTGGATGGAGATGAACCAGCCGAAGACCCTGCAGCCACAGAAGATGGCCACGCCATAGATGGGAGGGGCCTGGTCCCCTCAATCAGCACGTGATTTGCATGCAACTGCTGTCTGAGCAAAAAAAATTAATCTCTAGTATGTCAAACACAGCTAAAGTTGCATTTAAATTTTTTTTTGATTTGCAGAAAAATTATGATCATACAGGCAAAACACCCAGTTTCCCCCATTACTAACACATTACTGTTAGTATGACTTCTGAACTCCTCTGACATGCTCCTGTTGACGTGGGGCTTTGTTTTGTTTGATTCATTCTTCTTGGCACTATAAGCAGCTACAGCCTCATCTTGTACATTTCCTGCCCGATAGGACTAGCCACTTTGTTCCAGAAGCTTTGATTCCTCTTAGTGAAGAAAGGCACGAGAAGCCAGATCAAGGCTCGAGGTGTGCTTGTGCAGAGCAAAAATATATGTTCAGATGAACGTGTCTAGATACACACATCATCCCATATTCCTGTATGGAGCCATCCACATCTATGTGAAGGTAAACGGAGTCCACACTGACGTCTCCAGCTCAAATCCATTACCACACGGCTCATACTAGCGCCTCTCTGTCTTGTCTATAAACTCCACTCCAATAGCGAGGGGTTCGACTCCAGCCACCACCCACCATTCATGGGTATCAGGATTGTTAACTCCATAGGTTGAGTTTCTCCTTCTCACACATTCTTCTAGGATCGACACTTCCCAATTAAGAGGTGGACCCTAGTTCCCTTCTTTCTAGCCCTTTTAATTTTTTATTTTGAGACAGGGTCTTGCTAAGCTGCTAAGGCTGGTCTCCTACTTGGGATCCTCTTGCCTCAGCCTCTCGAGTCACTAGGATCATAGGCATCCACCACTGTGCCCAGATTTCTTCTTTCTCTTTGATTGGCACATAATAACTGCACATATTTATAGGGTACAATGTGGTAATTTGATACATGCATTACTATGCAATGATCAAATCAGGGTAAGTAACATATCCCTCTCCTCAGACATCCAGCATTCCTGTGTGGTAAGGCCATTAGGAACCCCCTCTTCCAGCTACTTTGAAATGTCTACTATGTTACTAACCATGGTCAATCTGCTGTGTCACTTGGAATATCAGAATTTATTCTTCATGCCTAATTGTAACTTGTACTTCTTAAAAGCTTTGGGGCAGCCTCATCCAAGGGGACAGCGTAAGTGACACTGTGTAATTTCTGAGGTTGTTGGTAAATATGCCATCCTTTTTGTGTTTTTGCTTTGCAGTTTGGGATCATTCTTTCTTAGAACTCAAGAGCTGCCATGCTGTGAGGAAGCCCAAGCATGCTGGGAGAGGCCTCAGTGGGAGGAACTGAGGCCCCAGAATTGAATTCGCTGATGTGGGTGCAGAGCCCAGAGCCTCAGTGGCACTAGTGACAATCAGCTCACCAGTCAGTGCCATCCTTGGGAGTTCCTCGGCCGCCCCAGCCACAGTAACAGCCATAGAAGCCGTAGTTTTTCAGGGCATTCTTGCCGGTCACCTTCTCGATCATGGACTTCAGGTCCAGCAAGCCCCCTGGCACGGCAGGCACACCTGAAAGACAGCCCATGTCCCCAGGTGACACTGCTGTGGCCTGTTCCCAGCATCTCTTGCCCTTTCTCCCACCCTCTTTTATTCTCCTAATTAGCTGGAGGGTGCGAGGTGGGGAAGGGCAGGCAGCATGGAGAGACGGAGAAGAGTTGGGCTTAGAAAATAAGCAGACTTGGGGTCAAATTCTGGCCCTGACACTAATTTGAATATAGGATTGAGAAGGCCTCTTCATCTCTCTTTAGTTTCCTCATCTGGAATATATGGGGGCCTAAAATTAGCACCTACCTCTTGGAGTTGGCAAGATACAGTATAAATTCTGAGCACAGTGGCAGACGCATCATAAGGGACTGAGACATATTGGGTATAATTCACACTGTATCTGCGCAAAGCAAGCAGACATGAGCTTCCTGTCCCTCTTGCGATGTCCCTTCTTCCTCATCCCCTTTCTCTAACACCTTTGAAAACATAAGAGAGGGTGGGGCCCTTGGAAGTCCCTGAAGCCAGCTCCTTCATCTCACCAGTTGGGAACCTGGGGTTTCCCCTGAGGCCAGAAGGAAAAGCATCCGGGCTCTCTCCCCTCCCTGCGCCAAGTGTGGTTCCTCCTGGGGTCCCCAGAGATCGGGAAAGACATGGAAGAGCAGGACTGCCTGTCAGGGCTGTGTGCGGGGTCACAGGGTGGTGGCCAAGCCCAAAGCCAGGTATGTGATCACCTCCAAGTTGAGGGGGCGCCTAGAGCAGGGTCTGCAGAGGACCTGGACAGGCCGAGCAGAGAATGGCCCGGGAATCACGGGCTGAACTATTTCAATAAGGGTCTTGGGTTCCACTTTGGTCTCTTTGTTTTGGCCTCATTTTATTTTGCATAACAGGAAAAAGAAAATTTCCCTTCCTATATTTGTAAGCTGCCCATCTTCATGCTCACAACCTCATATGTTCAACGTCTGAATTCTTTCGCAGCCCGCCTGTCCCCACCATTGTCCTCCATGAGACAAGGAAGCCGAGGCCCAGGGAGGTGAAGGCGCTCGCTGCATCCACATCAGCGCAGTAAAAGCAGAGCTGGACGCAAACGCCAGGCTCTACGAGCTCAAGACTGGCCTCTCACTCCAAGGGGGTCACTCAGAGGACACGGGGCCGGCACTTACCATAAGCCAGGAACCAAGCCAGTGTGAGGAGTCCCTTCATCTCTGAGGTTCTGGAAAAGAAACAGCCCACGACATGTGCAGCAGGCAATGCCCTGGGGCCCAGCAGACCCCTCTCGGCTCCCACCAGGTGTACCCATTCCCCTGCTCCCACCTTGGGGGGGACAATAAACAGATAAGCAGACCACTCCAGCCAGAAAGGACGAGACAAGCCTTTAGGAGACAGGAGCCATTAATGGAAGGATTGGTGGGGACATTGTCCCCATCAGAGGTGGCAGAGAACTCTCCCATCACGAGTCCCTGGACATACTTGCCCACATGGCAGAGATGTCCAACAGAACCCATAGAAATGGGTAGGACTCTTAAGTAGAGGTTTGGTGGCATGAGTTGAAGGGCAGGGACTAGCTTAACCTGGAGAGCCATGGAGGAGGAGGAGGACAGAACCCTGGACACAGAGTGGTGGGCGCCGAGGGCACAGGGGAGCTGGTGTCCACATCTTGTTCCCTGGCATCTCCCCAGGCTTCTGTCCCCTGTTATCAGGGCTCTTCCTGCTGATTCTCTGAGGTCAGAAGGTGACGACTGACCCTTGTAGCTCAGCCCTGGAAAGAGTGCCTGGCCCAGGATGCGTGCTCAGGAACGGAGCCCAGCACCCAGGAGGCTCAGGGGCTTTCCGGGCCCCCTGGTGGTTTTGTGGGCCACAGAGACTCTGCGGGCCTTTTGGAGGTAAGCCCCTTCCTCCAGCTAAACAAACCAAAGACACGGGATTGTATCTGCCAGCTGCTCCCACGGACAAACAGAAACTAGGTTGGGTTCATTATTATTTTATTAATTATTCTCCTGATTTTAAAGGAATTTAAAGTTAAAACTTTCCCCTGGGCCCAGGCACTCTGTCTACCCTCTGAATAAGAGGACTTGGTGCTTGTGACAGCTCTGAAGGTTTCCTTGTCCCTATGTGCCAGTGGGACACCGAGGCTCAGAAAGCTCCAGGAACTGCCCAGAGATCATGCAGCCAGCGGGGAGCAGGGGCTAGGAAGCGAGCCCAGGCCCAGTGCCCTTCCCTGAGCTGCAGGGCTCCCTTCCAGGGGGCAAATGCTCCAACATCCCAGCACTTCCTAAGATTTCCTTAAAACCGTCTTTGGCAAAAACACCCGCCATTGGCCTGGAGTCCAAAAGCAGTCACAGCCAAAAGGCGGAGGAAACACTGCGTGCCTTTGCTTGGGCCTCTCACAGAGATCTCCTACCGCGGCTGCCTGCTTCTCGCCCCTCCCAGGACCCCAACATCCCTGTTCACCCACAGCTGCTTGCCTGGCCTGTGGTCAGGACTCCCCCTACTTGCCATGTTGTCTCCAAGTCCCTGAGTTGAAGGGTCCCTTGAGCCAGGGTTCTGCCTGAGCCCCTGCCACCTCCCCAGGCCCAGCCTCCAAACACTCAGCTCCAGGTCCCGGCGGCTCCTGGCTACCAGGCTGGCATTTGTCCAGCAGCTCCTCTGAGCTCCAGGAACATTCCTGAACATTCTGTCCATCCTCAGCCTCCACTCCGAGGCGCCAAACAGCCGAGGGAAACGGCCCTAGACCCTCCCTTTCACATCAATCTTCTCTGCTGCTCTTGGAACCGAGGAAGGGCACAGGGTCAGTTACCACTGGACCCCTGGGTGCCTCTGACGTGCAGGCACCGTCCACTGTCTCCTCGAACCCACCAGTGGCCTTGGCAGGTAGACATTGTTAAACCGGCCATCTGTCCCCTCAAACAGTTATAGTTTAATGAATGAATAACAGTGGTTGGTTTTATGGATTCTGGAAATTGACGCTCAGGCAGGTGAAATGAATTGCCCAAACAGAGCATCTCCTCCTTTGACTGGCCACTCCCCTGCCTCTGAGCAACCCCTGTGTGTTAAAGATGCATTGTATCTCCTTTTACGATGCTTTGACATCTTGGGAGCCCTGCTGACCAGGTGGGACTGTCCCTCCTGGGGTAGCTAATTCCTAGAGGCCTCAGTCCCCTCCCCGGTGGGGATACCTTTCACATGCAAACCCACCCACCCAAATCCTAGACCCAGCACCTATCTTACCTAAGGCTCACAGGTCCCCATGTCCCCCCAGGCCAGGTTTTGGACAGCTGGGGAAGCCGCGGAAATGATTCAAACAAGACAAGCCTGAACCGTGGTGAAATTGTGCATCTGGACCCACGCTGGCACTGCTCCACGAGGCCCTGCGTGACCCTGCAGGCCCTCTCCTCCTGATCACTGTACAGAGCACACTCCTGCATGGCATTGCCTTCCACACGGGAATGAAACCAACACCCACGCAGGGTTAGAGCTCCGCGGGCTGCAGGCTCCCGGGGTGAGGGGCAGCAGGTGCCCCTGCAAGTGTGAGCCAGACAAGGTTCATTCCCAGAGGCTCAGAGCAGCCTCCAAACAGCTGTCCTTCTGTACCTTCTGAATAAGAGAACTTGGTGCATGTGACAGCTCTGAAGGTTTCCTTGTCCCTATGTGCCAGTGGGACACCGAGGCTCAGAAAGCTCTAGGAACTGGCCAGAGATCATGCAGCCAGCGCGGAGCAGGCCCTTGCGGGAGGATGTGGCATTGCCTATTTTTATCCAATGACCACAGAGAGCGGGGCACAGCCACCAGATAATTTCAGAGTGGAGCCGCAGCTGCAGTCATGAGAGGTGGATGGAGGCCTGAGGGCAGGCACTGGAGGCCAGGAAGTGGTCAGATTGTTGGAGGGACAGGCCCTCCAAGCCCAGATGCAGAAGCCCCGTGTCCCAGGAGCCCCTGTTCACATCTCCCAGCTGGGAGGCGGAGCAGCAGGCCCCTTGTACAGATGAGCCCCGAGCCGTAGGGGAGGCAGAGCGGCCGGCCGCTCCCTGGGCCCTGCTCCCTCACCAGGGGCCAGGCTCTCCTCACACAGCCCCCCTCTGAGTCCTGCTCCCCACACCCCCATCAGGAAAAGGCAGCCCCAAGATAGAGATTCTCACCGGTGAGCTCCTTGCTGTCAGGCCTGGAGAAGAGGCGACAGCCCGCCGCCTGCTTTTAAGGGCCGTCTGCCCGCCTCCCACACTCCTGCCTGGGCCAGCTCCAAGATTCCCGGTAACTCACATAAGAAGCCCTATTTCTCTTCTCAAGACCCCTGGGGATTTTTTCCCTCTCTGTATTCAGAAGCAGTTATTTCCTGAAGCACGTCACCAGCCTGTTGGATTTAAGAGACCCATTGAGGAGGATTTGGCTTGGGCCATCCGTGGGTGGTCCCAGGACTGGAGCTCTGGGGTCCCCTCCCAGATGCATCTCGCTTCCTCCCACCACAGTCAGCCTTTGTCTCGTTTGCCCGGCTGGTGGCTCCTGGCACTCTGTCTCAACCCAGGGACAACCCTGGAAGCCATAAATGCATATGCCCCAACCCCTATCCTACTCCTGTTACTCCCAACCTGCCAACCCCCAGCGTTCTTTGGAGCCTGCAAATACCCCGCTCTGGAGATGCCACAGAATGTCACCTCCTCTGGGCACCTGAGTCTGCTGAGTTCCTGCATCTCGTCCCTTTGGAAAGCACAAGGCTTCTAGGTAGAGAGGCCAGCTGCATCCCAGCTCAGCCCTGGGCAGCTGTGTGACTGTGCTGAGCAGGCTGGCCCCTGCTCTCTGTGACTCTGTGATGTAGAGAACAGCAGTTTCCAGGCTGGGCCTAAACCTGAGCGTCTCCATTCTGTGAATCAGAGTTCGCCGTGAGCTGCTCCATTGTGCGTTGAAGTGCTGAGGTGGGACCATCCACACCTCGTTCACACAAGAAAAAACAACTACCGTCTGCCCGGCACCGCCGTAAGGCACGAATGATAAATAAATTGATCGTGTAGACAAGAATGACCAAGTGTGAACTTACCAAATTAATCAGAAACACACGGATACATGGGATCATAAATGTGTGTATGACTCACACTGGAAAATCCAGGCCCATGGCTTAGCGAACGCACCAGCCCACCAGGTGATGCAGCCCCCTCACTTCAGACCCATGAAGGAGGAGGAATCTGAGATGACATGGTGCCACTGTGGTGACCCCCATCTCCTGGCCGCTCATCACGAGCCTTGCCCAGGAAAATCGCCACCGCAATGAACCTCCAGATCTCTATCTCGAGCTTCAGTAGAGAGGTTTCTCCTGCCCGTGATGACCACACGCGTCCACTCCAAGCTGATGCTGTGAGTCTGCCATCCGTCCAGAGTTTGGCCTGCAGTAGGTCCCTGTGCTTTGACAGCTCTGCGCCCCAAACAAGTTCTTGCATTGGTTCCTAATCTTATCAGATCATTCTCAAATTCTCTGCTCTCTGCCTTTGCTCTCAGTCCAGACTCTGGGACCCTCGGCCCTTTCTTAGCCTTTCTGTAACTTACATCCATATCCATATCTATATCATCTATATCCATATCCATATCTATATTTACATCCATTTCCATGTCCATATCTATATCTATGTTAGAGCGGGGTTTTCTGTAACATACATGTGTATATATAGAGTTGTGTAAAATGCGATGTGGGACCTTGAGTGTTACAGACATAAGAAATTAAGATTGGAATAAAAGGACCTGTCGTCTCCCTGCCCATGACTACTAGGTGGCCCGCAAGTTACCACAAGCAACTGCCCCTGGTGGCCTGTAAACATTTTGTCATTCAGCAGGTTCGGACACTGTGGAAAGACACAACGTGTCTGTTAATGTCATAGCTTGCTCATGACAGTGATCCTGGCCAAGTCACTGCACTTCTCTGCTTCTTCAAGTGAGATTTGAAAACAGTGGTTCCCTCCAGCCCCAGAGGCTCCTGGTGGAGAAGGGACACAAAGTAAGACCTAGAAAAGGAGGCCGGGCAGGGAAGGGCTTGGCTCAGCCGGTAGCTCACCGACTACAAATCCTGAGTTCGAATCCTGGCTTCCTGGCTACTGGCTGCCTGGCCTCAGGGCTGGTGGGAGTTCACCTGCCTCTATTGAATTGTCAGGTTCAATAGATTGATGCATGGACAACACCCAGAGCAGTGGCAGACACAGAATAATGCCAATGAGGGGATGACGGCTAACCTTCCAGAGTGTTGCACAGGGCATAGACGGCTCCTACTATTCGCCACTCTGGGCTTCTGTTAATCCCTGCACCACCCACCCCCACGGCACGCTTTTCTGAGATGTCTCGGGGGTTGGGGGGAGCGTTGCCTCTCCTTGCCCGCCTCCTGTCCTGCCCATCAGCATCAGAAGGAGCCCTTCCTCTGGGCCCCCTGAACACTTCTCTCCCTAGGACCTGACCACTGGGTTCCCTGGGGAGCCCTGTGAATTCAGTTCAAGGCCATGTACATACTATATACATGTGTCGTCTACTACATCCATCCATCCACGTGTCATCTACCACATGCCAGGCGTTGCCTGGGATTCAGCCGTGAACAAGGCAGGGACCTTGCGTTCTGGTGGGGAAACGGAGAGCGAAGGCAGGGAATGGAGAGATCCCGGGTGCGGGGATGACGATGGGGAGAAATCTGTTCTGCATTTTCATTTCTCCTTCTCCACCTTTAAGGACACTCATCTCGTCATCCTAAACCAGAAAAAACTGAGACAAAAAAAAGAAAGCCCCCAATTCCCTTGCCCCGAAGGACCCTTTCTAGCTCTCCTTTTCCTCTAAAGGCCACAGCTCTGCCCGGGAAGCCTCCGCCCCTTCTCCTCCCCTCCCAACCCTCTGCGTCTTGGATTTGGCCACATGGACTCGCAGGCACCCCCAAGCCCGGCATTGCCCCTCCACCTCCGGGTACAGCTCCTCCCTCTCCGCCGCCTTCCTTCTGGTCTCCACGAGGCCTAAGGTGCCAGCTGCCCTCCCCGGGCTCACCCAGCCCCAACCTGCTGCCCTCTGGGGCTGCTTGCTCTCCTCCACCCGCCCGGGCGAGCCCATCGGTGGCAGGGATTTCACTCTTATTTCCATGCAGGTGTCTGGGAGGTGAGGGCCGGGAGGTGTGGGCTGAGTGGTGTTTGGCACTAGTTCAGAGTCAACAAGTGACATTTAATAAAAGGAGTGTAAGACAAGGTGCCATGCCAGGTCAAGACCCTACGCTTCCAGGCACACCGACCTGGGTTCAAGCCCCTGTCTCATCTCTGGCCTCCTGACCCCTGAGCAAGCTGTTTGGCCTCTTCTGGTCCCAGTTTTCTTGTAAACTAGAATACTCCTGGAGCCAGCTCCGGTTACTAGTTGTGATAATCCAGCCAGATGAGTCAGCAGAGGGTGCCTGGCACCTTTGTGTTACTGTCCTCCCAGGTGACTGAGAACCCCAGAAGAATTAAGCACTGTGTCTGTTTCTCCTCTGTGCCCCAGCACAAGGCACATAGTAGGTGCTCAGGAAAAGTGTACTGAGTGCACGCATCGCTCCTCTGGCTCTAGTTCCATGCTCACCCTGCTGCTTCCACACACACTCCCAACGTCATCGCCCCAGAAACACAATACGGCTGCCTGATATTCCAGCTCAGTGACCCCTGGGGACCTCAGAACTAACTTCACTGTCTCCCTCCCAGCCCAGTCTCTCCAACTTCTCTTTCCTTCAGCCGTCTATACCTTAATGATTAAAAACACCCTCTACCACTTCCGTCCCAACAGAGCGGGGTGGAATTCTGCTCTGATCGTCTCTGACCCCAGCAGGAGAAGGTCTGACCCACGATAGAGCCTCAGGAAGAATTTGTGGAATGAAAGTAGCATCTGACACATACGCTCATTCTCTGGCACTGGCTCATCCAGGGGCTGAAGTCCCCCGAGGAGCTGGACATTCTTGCCCCAAGAACCTGAGCTGCGGAGACACCCCTGGCCCCGTGGGGTGGTGTGCAGCCCCTGGCACCTAGGACGATGGCCAGGGCTCACTGTGGGAAAGTCTCCTGGGAGCTCTCCTCCTCCTCCAGGTGGTCTCCCATGACTCCTTCCACAGGGCGCTGGCCGGTCTCTGGAGATCTCCTCCCACACTCTGTCCACTCCGGCCTTTCCCGATGGAGGGGATTCTGAGGCTGATGGCTTGGGAGAGGAGAACTCAGGATTCATTGAGCATCGTCTAGGGCACAAGTGCAAGGGCAAGATCAAGGTCAGCACTGCCACATTCCTGAGTCCTCTCAAAGTCCAGCAAGGCATGCACTCCCACTCTGTCAGTAAGGAATCCAAAGGGCGGGCGGTAGGTAGCTTCCCTGAGGTCACATGGCTGGGAAAAGGACTCGGAATCTGAGCCTCACCCATCTGGCACGCAGTCCGCCTTCTTTCCGTTACCCAGATCGGCACCATCACAGGACATCTGACCAAGGGCCTGTGGTTTCCCTCCAGGTGAAAGGAGAAGTGAAAGCTGAGTTCCAGTTAGTTCAATGAGCTCCTGGTCCCAGGAAGTTCAGGATGAGTGGGACTGGATCTGGATTCTGCCCAGGACTCTGTACACTCCTAGGGAAGGCCCGGCTTGGCCTATGCAGTGCTTTTTATTTTTAATTTTTTGAATTCTAATTTGTTATATATGACAGCAGAATATGTTCCAATGCACAGTACACATATAGAGCACACGTTTTCTTATCTCTGGTTGTATACAAAGTACGTTCACACCTTTCGTGTCTTCATACATGCACTTAGGGTAGTGATGTCCATCTCATTCCACCATCTTCTGTTACTCCCATGGCCCCTCCCTTCCCCTCCCACCCCAAGGAACTGACAGACACCTCTCAGAAGATGATATACAATCCATCGACAAATATATGAAAAAATGTTCAACATCTCCAGCAATGGGAGAAATGCAAATGAAAACTACTCTGAGATTCCATCTCACTCCAGTCAGAATGGCAGCTGTTATGAAGACAAACAATAATAAATGTTGGTGAGGATGTGGGGGAAAGGCACACTCATACAGCTGGTGGGACTGCAAGTTGGTGCAGCCAATATGGAAAGCAGTATGGAGAATCCTTGGAAAACTGGGAATGGAACCACCATTTGACCCAGCTACCCCACCCCTCAGTCTACACCCAAAGGACTTAAAAACAGCATACTCCAGGGACACAGCCACATCAATGTTTATAGCAGCACAATACACGGTGCTTTTTTAAAAAAGTAATTAGTTGCCAATACATAAAGGTTAAGTGAATCCAGGTTTCCAGCTTCTCCTTAAAAGACCTGGCAATCTGACGTCATCCCGGGGTCCCCAGAGAAGCAGCTTTGCCCATGCGCGCGGGGGGGGGGTTCAGTGTTGCCTTAATCCTCACCACCTGTGTGTCTTGTGCCCAATCTGCATCATGGTGGCTCTCTAGATGGAGGGGTTTCTAGTGGCCCATCACAGAACTCAGGCTCTGTCCTAATTGTTTACCAATGATGACACAGTGAGTCCCTCCACGAGGCTCCAGATCATGGAGCCGAGACCAGCACACGTGCTCAAAGGAGAGTATTTTGACCTGAGCCAAGAAACCTCCTGGGTCCTGGAACATAGTAAACTGGCCCGGGCGCTGGGTTGCCTGTACCCCGACCGCACTGGTGTGACAGGTGGGGCCTGAGCAGGTGGGGCAGACCCCCACTCTGGTTCTCAGGGAAAGAAACTTTATTCAGGAATCAGAAACACAAGCGACTCGTCAAAGCGCACGCAGCCGGCCGCGTCCATCAGGGAGTCTGGGTGCTGGTCTATAAAAATGGTAAAAAGTACATTGCAAAAAAAATTTAAAAAGAAAAATCACCATTTATTATAAGGACTGGAGGGAGCTCCTGCCCTCTGGGCTCACCCCAACTTCCCAACATTTTATTCACACCAGAGACATGTTCAGAGATGTTGCAAAGAGCCAGTGGCATTATCAAGTGGCAGGTGGACGGGATGGACCACAGGTGCCCACTGGGTCTGAGGTCAGTGATGGGGTGATGGCCCCGTTCTCGAACATTCCAAATGGTGGTTTGACTCTGGGTCT